AAGAGTGTTTTTATATTTTGTATTAATTATTTTTTAAAGTGTTTTTTAATTAAAAAATGTTAAATAAATTTTTTTTTTAAAATTATTTCAGATATTAGCAAATTAAAATAATATGGAAATATGGAAAAATTAATTTTTAATTAAATAGCCTTTTGAAATGTAATTCCAAATAAAATTTTTTATTTTAACTGTGTTTATTTTTTCAGTTTAAAATATGCTTTTTAAAATATTTTTTAACATAGTTTTAATGAAGAAAGTACTTGCACAAAGCGTTACAAAGCACGTATTCTTCTTCCCTTGGCCTACTTTTGTCTACTGGACAACACCGGGTCATGAAGCAACAAATGGTATACAAAACAAACAATCTTTATGGTTAGTGCACGTGCCAAGGTCTTGTCTCACGTGCAGTAGGTCTGACCCCTCCTAAAATATTAATTGAACTTGATGTTGTTGGGCACTAGTCCCGATATATGAACATGAACCCTCAAGACCCGGCCGACACGGTTCCCAATGACCCCATTTTCCAGCCCCATTGTTTTTAATTCCCCATTTTTTTAAGTCCACATTTACAGCTAGAACTGGAACACGGCTACACGCCATGGCCACTGCTTCTTCTTCTTCTTCAATTATTTTCTATCCTTTTCCTTTCTTAGGCATCCCTTTCTTATGGAGTCTTTGTCACTGATACATTTTTGTGTTGATTTTTGTTACAGATTCCCTCGCCCATTATGTAGTCGTAGAAGTGCTAGTGGTGACAGTGTAATCATGCTGTATATACCAGCATTTGAATGGTAAATTAAAATCTTGAAGGCAGAACTTTTTCCTAGTAACTTTGAGAGGACAAAACTATAATTAATATTCATTAACCATCTCCATGTCTTCTACAATATAAATCTTCAAAGTATCTTGTAGCCGATGCTCCTGCACTCGCAGGGCTTGTGTAAATTTGTAGTCATTTATAGCATGAATGAAGTTTCTGTAAATAAAGTATCATTGAAGATTGGATAGTACATATAGATTCAAATGTTAAACTTAAGAATTTTTAAATTCACATCCGGTTTGTATCTCATACGATAGAAAAGATAAATAAATGTATTTTGGCATAAAAATAAACTTTTTTCCAAAACAATTATAGAATGGATTTCTGCAAGGGAACATATCATTTTTATTCCAATTCTCACTATCGTTTATATCATGAGATAATAATTAAATATTATCTTATTAATTTAATGCACCATCACTCATGACTTTGAGGTCAAATATAGAAGTATGAATGAAATAAATTATAATTTCATAAACAAAATCAATTTGCTAAGGTACTATTGATATATCAAGCAATGAATATACTAGTTAATGTTGTATTAATTAGTCTTCTGGCTACCTTATATATATATATGTCCTCTGGCATGGGATAAGAATATGCGTAAACTGGAGTCAATAGATTCGAGGAAGTGAATTTTGCCAATAGGGTGAGCCAAAAACCTCCATATCTTCATACTTTATAGGCAGATTGACAATGATTCATTGACATACTTTCTTAAGCACCACGACTTACTAGAACTATAACCAATTGTATATTGATCCAGACAAAGAGAGGGAGCGTTTTGAATAATTAATTAATTAATTATTATAATCTAATTGGGATTGATTTTAATTAGAGAATTTGATAATGTGGATAATAGTCGTGTCCCTGCTAACATCAACAGACTGCGGGGATCAGTGGTATCCCAGGAGTTTTGACTGAAAGTTTTAAGAGTTAGTTGGCCAATTAGGAAGATACAGGAACAGATTCTTTTTGAAGTCATAACTTTTGTCTTTTGTGGACAAAAAATAAATAAATAAAAATAAATCAAATAGTGATTTATAGTTTTCTTATTGACTAAGTATGTAATCAGAAAATATTTAGAAAATTATAATCCCTGACGTGTGATTGGCTGAAGTAAAGCCTAAGGCCTCGTATATATAGAAGATAGCACTAGTTTTTTCGAGGACCTACTCTTTTTCTTTTTCCTTTCCCTTTTCCTTTTTGTTTTTTCCTCTTAATCTCAGATCTTACGCGTGAATTAACTAAATATTGCTATTTTACACCATGAATTAATTATATTACCTGTAGATTGGCCACACAAGGCCAAAAACATTCAGTCATGTACTTCCTTTCATTGTATTTATTTGATTCTAAATGAGGTACAGTTCAGGAGACTATATATTGATTATTTTTTTTTTTTTTTTGCTTTTCAACTTTATTTATTATTTTTATTTTTTTTTATAGAAAAGTAAGAGGAACGAAAGCAAGGGTTAAACACGTTCGTAAAATTTCTATGTCACTAGCTACATGATAAATAAGGAAAAATAGAAAAAGAATAGAAAAACAAAACCTTCAAATATTCCAATCAAGACAAAGGGGAGCGGAGCAGAATCGCTGCATGTTGACCACAAATCAGGAATTTAATTTTTCATTTGATACTTTTATACCATTTATTTATTTATTTATTATATTTGTGCATTTACGTGTTTGAAGCCTTCATCTTTCTTTGTTTATTATAAGGGTAATTTAATTTTCAGAGGCAATTGAAATTTGAGATTTTCAATCGGAAATCTCAAATTTAAATCATGAAAAGAATGAGACGATGTATTTTATATATATATATAAATAAGAAAAATAAGAGAAAGTTAATTAAGCCTTTTTATAATTTGATTTAAGATTCTTAAATGAAAGGATTAAACAAGTGGGATATATAAATGGAAATTAAACTATATAGCTCATCTTATCTTTCTTTTGATTTAAGCACAAATTAAAAACTTATAAGAAATTTAAAGTTTTTAGTTGTAATTAAACTAATTAATTATAAACAGCACACCATTCCTCCATCAACCATATACAAACAAAGTAATGAACATGGCCCATTATCCTACTGGTCAACACCCTTAATAAGTCACCAAGAATAATATCATTTTGCTTTTTTTTTTTTTTTTCAATCAAACTCCAAGTTGTAAAACGGAGGTCATGGTTCAGGGGCTTACACGGATTAATCTTTTATTAAAAAATATTATTTTAATATAAAAATCTCTTCTAAAAAAGTAAACTACTTAATAATTGAGTTTTCACTGTTTAATTAATCAAACTGGATTTTAAGAAAATCAGCTAAGTTTTTTCTTTGTTTTTAAACTTAAATTGGTTTAAATTCATAAATTATTAACAATTCTATTACAATCCCATTATTTACTTACTTATTTATCCATAATTAATTTCTCACCTTTTTTTTTTTAAATACCTCTGCCGCCCAGAATAGCCATCCATGTTGATTCCCCCCCCCCCCCCCCCCCCATCACTCTCCTCCACAGGTTTATCCCCCCCCCCCCCTCTCTCTAAATATCTAACACCACCTCTCTCTCTCTCAAACTCGAGAGAAAAGAATCTCTCTTTCTTTCTCTTTCTAAAACATACAGTAACACAACACACTAACCCACCATCATCACCATCATCCATTGCAAGAACACAAAAAAAAAAAAAACCTCTTCTTATCTTCTCTTCCTCTTGCTAACTGCCCCTTAGCCTCCACTCCTTTTCGTTTCTTTTCTTTGTTTCTTGCTCTTTATTGTATTATATATATATAGCAAGCAAGAAGCAACCCTAGCTAATAAACAAAACCATATAAATAAATATACATATTTTTTGGAGCCATGACTCTTGAAGACTCTCTAAGATCTCTATCTTTAGACTATCTTAACCTTCTTATCAATGGCCAAGCTTTCTCTGATGTAACTTTCAGTGTAGAGGGTCGTTTAGTTCATGCCCACAGGTGTATTTTAGCAGCAAGAAGTTTGTTTTTCAGGAAGTTTTTTTGTGGACCTGATCCACCATCTGGGCTAGACCCATCCGGGTCCAGGATAAACACGGTTGGATCACCAGGTTCGAGGTCTAATGTGATACCAGTTAACTCAGTGGGATATGAGGTGTTCTTGTTGCTGTTACAGTTCTTGTATAGTGGACAAGTCTCTATTGTGCCACAAAAACATGAGCCAAGGCCTAATTGTGGTGAGAGAGGGTGTTGGCATACACATTGCACCTCAGCCGTTGATCTTGCTCTTGACACTCTTGCCGCCGCTAGATACTTTGGTGTTGAACAGCTTGCAATGCTCACTCAGGTCTTTCTTCCTTGTAGTCAGTCATATAGCAACTAGTTATGATCATTTCAAGATTTCTTTTCCTTTCTTTTGTGCTCCTCTCTTTGTTTCTCTCTCTTTTCTCTCAAAATCTTGATGAGTGTGTAGAGTATAGTACTCGTATGTTTTTTGGTTTTGGTTTTTGGGAAGTGGGAAGGTATTTTTGTGGTGGGTTTTTAGATTTTTTTCATTTCCTTTTTTCTTTTTTTGTTACATGGGAAATTTTATTATCCCATGATGAAGTGGATGAGAGGTTGTTTCATGTTTCATAATCTATGTATCTTTATGTTCAATTGGCTTGGACCTGGCTTCCTAGCTCATTTCAAGCTGTTGCGTTTGATCCCACTCTCATTTATAGTACTTTCTTTTCTTGTACTAGGTCACTCAACACTTTCTTTTCTACATGGTGATTCAATTATTGTTTCAATTTTCTCATAACAGTGTTTGTGAGCTTTTCTTCTTCTTTTCCTCTTACTAGCTTCTGTTCTTTCTGCTTTTGATAGTTATCAAGCACTGTAGCACTAGTCTTGTACAAGTCAAATGTTGATCGCGTCCATGTAAGATAAGAGGTTTTTTTCTTGATTTCATGTATGATTTTTGGTTTCTTGAGTTGGGATCTTCCATCTTTATTCTGTACATATTAACCAAGACTTTCTAAATGTAGTTCTTCATCTCCAGTCTTTTCTTCCACAGTGTGCTAATTGAATTTATGTGAAACAAGCACTTTCCTCATTTGGGTAAAAGAATGTGAAAAGAGATGGACAAGATGAACAATTTTTTTTGCATAAAACATCCCATCATACACTAATGCAACAAAAAGGAATTCTATTTGCAACTAATTCCATTTACCAATGCTAATATCCCTTGTTTTCTGTTCCTCAGAAGCAATTGGCTAACATGGTAGAGAAGGCCTCAATTGATGATGTGATGAAGGTGCTGATAGCTTCAAGAAAGCAAGATATGCACCAACTTTGGACCACTTGCTCACATCTTGTGGCCAAATCAGGCCTGCCACCAGAAGTCCTAGCTAAACACCTTCCAATTGATGTTGTGGCCAAAATTGAAGAACTACGCCTCAAATCATCTATTGCTCGAAGATCACTAATGCCCCACCATCACCACCATCTCCACGATCTTACCTCAGCTGCTGATCTCGAGGACCAAAAAATTCGAAGAATGAAAAGGGCGTTAGATTCATCTGATGTTGAACTAGTCAAGCTTATGGTAATGGGAGAAGGGCTTAATCTTGATGAAGCACTGGCTTTACATTATGCTGTCGAGAATTGTAGCCGGGAAGTGGTCAAAGCCTTGCTTGAGCTTGGTGCTGCTAATGTTAATTATCAGGCAGGGCCGGCAGGGAAAACTCCTCTTCACATTGCAGCAGAAATGGTGTCACCAGATATGGTTGCAGTACTTCTTGATCATCATGCTGACCCTAATGTTAGAACCGTTGATGGAGTCACCCCTCTTGACATTCTTAGAACCCTAACCTCAGATTTCTTGTTCAAGGGGGCAGTCCCGGGTCTAGCCCACATGGAGCCCAACAAGCTTAGGCTGTGTCTTGAGCTCGTTCAATCCGCAGCTATGGTTCTTTCACGTGAAGAAGGGAATGTGAATGCTACTTCAACCCTTATTTATCCATCAATGAGTGATGAACATAATACAAGCAGCTGTGGTAGTAATCTTGCTAACTTGAATCTTGATTCAAGGTTGGTTTATTTGAATCTTGGAGCTGCTGGTTCAGGTCAAATGGGATCAAGGATGGATGAAGATGACGATAGTAGCCACAACAACCAGAGAGATCATCATGCAATGAGTAGACATGATCCAACAATGTACCACCATCACTCTCATGACATTTAGCTAGTTCCCAGCCTACCTAAGTTCTCTTTTTAAATTATATAGCCATGACGGAGGATCGGGAGAGATGGATAGACAAGTAAAAGGCTTCTTGAGTTCATGAAGATTATTATTGGATTATATTTATATATATCCTCTCTCTCTCTCTCTCTCGCTCTCTCTATCTATCTATCTTGTCATAAATCTTCAATCAGTTCTTTCACTTATTGCCCTTTTTTTGTTCTTCTTTCTCTCTGTTCTGTTTGGGTTGTTTCTTTTGGACTCTGTAGGGCTTTCAATGACTCATCATATGAGAAGTGCAGTTTCATTGGAGATGGGATAAATCTCTTCTGATCTCTCATGGGATGAGACAAGGAGAGTCTGAGTTTTTGCTCTCCTGAGATGAGAGAGGGACGCAGGTCAATCTTTTCAAACCTGGCCTGTCAACTCCTTTGTATTTATTGATAGTATCTAATTTCATGGCCTCTCCATTATGCCCTTTTATTTTCTTTTCTGTCTCCTCCACCCACCTTCCCATCATCTGAACATTAACACAATGCACATAATTAGGTAAGTTAAGAAGAAAAAATATATATTAACTGACTTTAATGCTAAAATTTAATTAAAAAATAATAATCATTTTAAGATATAGCTAGGAAACGTAAATTAGAAGGAAGATTTTGGTGTCTAATGATGGTGGGGTTTCTTTACTTCATTATAGGCTTTGTTTGGACATGGATGATGTAGGGGAATGAGCTGTCTCTTTTCTCTTTCACATTTCTTTTCTAAGCGTTCATGGGCTTTTGAGAAGACTTTGATTGGATGCAGTTTTGTCTTAATTATATTAGAGAAGAAAATCATGTGGTAATGGGTAATTTGATTGTTTGTCTTGCATGAATGCAAAATACCTCCTTGTTTGGTCTCTTGCAGTAACTCATAGAAACTTAACAGTTAAAACCCTAGATGGTCTTAACATCCTGCTTTCTAAACCAATGGGTTTCCTGGTTCCTTCCTGATCATCATCCTTTATGTATATACCCTATTTCCTTGCAGACATGGAATTCTCTCCTTTCTAAGCCAGTCTCCATGCTATACACCTTGTGCTTACTGCGGTTTTGCGTACTTAATTGGCAGACCCTCTTTTGAGTACTGTCCACTACTTATTTCAATGTTATTCCTTATACTCCAATGTACTTTGTGTGGTAGATTACCATAAAAGTTAAATCAGCACTAGTTAGCCACACTTTTTTTTAGTTAGAACAGTCAAAAATCAAAATGCATGCGTCCCAACCATTCTAGATCCATGTGCTTATTCTATTCTAATTGGAGTTTTACCCTCCAATTAGAATCTTAGAACATTAATTATGTATCTGTAAATCGACCATGTGAAACAACCTAGTAGAAAGGAAAATGTTCAGCTTTCTTCTTAATTTCAACTACTTCAAATTGGATCTCATAATGTTTTAGCAATATGTGCATGGTACACTTTAGCATTTCACTGGTCTCAAAGGCCATTGATTAATTAATTACCAGTAGATTTTTGATATCCTGAGGCAACCTCATGAACATTAATCTATTTTCAATTTGCTAATGATGACAAGCTTCTGAGTTCTCCCTCTTTAGTTGGTAATTAAAAGGTCTGATAACTTTCTTTTCTTAGTGATCTAGTAGGTGATTTATCAGCATTGACGTTTGTTGTTTAGATAGATAGCCCAAATGAAATTATGTAGAACTTTGAAGGATATGCTTGAGCATGAGGACTAGTCACCTGGTCAAAACATTTAATGTGAATTTATTCATTCAGGAAAATAGGCAAATCAGCCACCTGCCAAACTTCTTATGCTTTGCGTGTCTGCTGAAAGAGTCGTGTAATTTAATGACCATATAAATGCCAGTCCCCAGTCCATAGTTTGAAGTCCTGGACACCTCCTTACTAGTTTAATGTCTATTGCATTTGGCAGCAGAAATGTTGGATTCAAAAGGGATTAGAAGGTGAGCATTTTCATGGATATAATATTCCTATGCTGTTTTGTTTGCAAGGGATTGTCAGATTTTCTTTGAAATATGTCAGAGTCCCATTAAAAGAAATCTTGGGGCAAATGTGAACTGTTGTCCTTTTCAACTGTGGAATTTGGTATATGAACTCTCAGGCATCACTTTTCAGCAGTCTCGGAAACCTCACATTCACCTAATTAAAGGCTTAGTCTGTTATCTTTGCCTTCTTGCCTTTTAAAATTCTCACAGCATAGAGATCAGCAAGTTTAGTCTGTTATCTTTGCCTTCTTGCCTCTTAAAATTCTCACAGCATAGAGATTATCAAGAATTGTGAATTTCGTAGTATCCAAAACAACATATAATTTATTAGCCGAAAATTCGAAAGTTAATTTAGCCGTTAAGCAATCTTTCCTACGATACATGCCTCATCTGTTTGTACGGAGTTTTAATGCTGTTGTTTTCTTTGTAAGCATGTCATTTGATTTACTAGTAGTATCTGGACATGATTAACTAATAGCTTGCTTGGAATCTCTGGAATTAAATTCAATTCCAAACTTAAATCAAGTCTTGTGTTTGAAATTATTTCGAGGATACTGAATCATGAAAATAAATAAAAATAAATTAAAAGGGAGACCATTCATTTGCTACAAAATTCCAAATAAAAATTACTATTTTAAAAATACTCCTATTTCTTTACTCACAAAAACCTTTCTCTTCATGGTCTCCTTTTGTTCTTCAACAAAAGCTTTGGAAAATGAAACAAACACTGATGAAACAAGAAACGATCACTGATGAAAATTTTGTTTAGGAACACAATCTTTAAATAGGTCTTTTACTGATAGCTTGTGGTGTAGCAGGTGTATAATTACACATTTTTCGCCTCATTTCTCATCCTTCTCAGACAAGAAAAAACCACCATATCGCAATCTGCAATTTGACACGAAGAGGCACGAAGGCAAAGGCCATTATTGAGATAAACATTTTGGTTTGATGAAAGAGCTTAGGATCGAGAGGGAATTCATGGGAGCTGCAAGCATTTTGTTGAGCTAAATGCTAGTTACTAAGAATTATGAACACTTGATAATTGAAATACCAAGCTTGTGGTGTGCATCATCAACATTTGAAATTGTTTGCAATGCTGTGTTGGAATATTTCTAGCTACATCTAATAGTTTAAATCCCAAAAGATTTATTCACATACCATATAAAGGTGATACTGCAAAGCATGGAGGCGCATACTTCAGGACTGCAATGATCATTATGAGCTGCACCAAAAACAAAAATAATTTCAGCATCCAAACAGATTCAATTCCAATCGAAGGGAAATCCAACTCGCAACAAATAAAATTGTATCCCAATCCAACTTGCAAATGCATCATGATTTGTTATAAAATAATAATGGATTCTATTTTAACATAACAACAAAAATGTTTTTTAACAAAAATAAATGATTTCTAAATCAAGGGAAAATAGTCAAGATTTTTAATTCAGCAAGTATTCTAAATAATATATATAATTAAATTTAATTAAGTGGTTTATTACTTTATTCCAAACATAAAAATTATATTAAGTTATCAATTGAATCTAAATCATATACGGAATTGATTTGGTTCCATATAAGCTATAAGGGTTAATAATCTAATCATTCTCCTTTGTGTACAAATGTTGGAGTTGAGTTCTTGTTTAATTGAAATTGAAATTCATAGTTTACTCCAATTTATTTATTGTTTAATTTGTTTTTAGAAATTGAGCACACCCTTGATTCTATTTTTTTTCTAGTGTTGGATATAATTTTGTTTCCTTTTTCCTCAAAAAAACAAAAAAAACATGCATCCCCCTTTAAATGTGAACATGTTATCTACATGGTTTTGATTGAGATCATCATTATCATTTGTTATTAGCTAGGTCGAGTCTATACTTCGTTTCTTGTCTAATTAATTTTGTGCACTATTAAGAACAGTACTATCATACCAAATAGTGTTAGCAAATTTTCAGATCCGGTGGAATTAATGATGGCTCACAAACAACAATGTTGTTGATATTGTGTCGATTCAGGCAATCCGGTTGTAAGGATTGTCATATGAAATGATTGAGTGGATTGATGATCGATGTTTATCATACACTATTGATAATAAAAAAAATACAAATAGAATCAAAGGGGTGTGCTCCCTCCTTGACTACTAGGAATTTAGCCGAAGCTGAGAAGACAATAAAATTTTCATGGCATCACCTTGATATATCGGTGTGGATTATTTGTCTTTGATTGAAACTGAAAGGATTATTGTAGCGTTCAAAATACTATTTATTATGTATTTATTTTTTAAATCAATTCTTGTAATCAAAATGGGGATGACGAACCATGGCACAACATATAATACTAATAAAAGGAGTTCTCAGGCTTTAAAGGCTGCAATTTTAAACTATAAGGAAATAAACAAAAAAAACTCTAATGAATAAAATAATACATGGAATATTTAAATAGAGGTTAAAATCAACATAATTAAAAGAATTAAAAATTAATTGAAAAATAATTAAAATTAAAAATTAACTAGGAAAATAATTAAAATAACAAAAAATATCCTAAATCTACTTTAAAGATCTTTCAAACCTCGGTTCGCTACACCAAGCTAACCCTATAAAATAGACATATAAAATTATTCAATAAAATTTAAATTTGATTAAATAATTAAATTTAAATTTTATATAGCTTTTGTTAATCAAATTATATGTTTGACGCATCTGACTTTCTTCACAAGTTTTGCCTTGTTTTTCTCGTGTATCTACTCTATAAATGTATTTATAGTACGTTCTATATCATATTAATTTCCACGTAACCAAATAAGGAATGGAGAGAGATGAGTTTCTAATTTTCCAGTTAGTGATGATAGCGATCATAGCATTCAATTTACTAGAAGAGCACCATAATTCTTTATGTTACTTAGTAGTTTAATTACTTTTGGCATTATATTAAAAGAATTACTCGTCGATTATTTATGATGCAAATTAATGCTATTTTTATAATCTTCAGATAAAGAACTCGTATGCGATGGCATGTATTGTTCGAATTGCTAGGTAGAAGTGGAAGGTAAAATAAAAAGGGGCACAAATCCAACTATTTATCCACTTTCAACACAGTTGTGATGCAGGATTGGAGCACATACATATCACATCTTTCTTTTAATCAATCTGAGTTTACTTTTTAATTGGTTAATGTTACTTTGTATTAACCATTGTCAGCTAGTTAAATAATTAATTTATGTATTATTCTTATATATAAGTCGTATTGTTCCTTTACACTCTTTATCCCAAGTAAAGTAAAAATAATGTTTTTGTACGAAAATAATCTATAAACAAACTTTCTACGTTATATTTTCATATAATAAGACATGTCAAGATATAAATCATAAAATTAATATGAATCTATCAATTATAATTTATCTGTATAATCTTACACACACACACACAGATATATATATCTATATCTATATATATATATATATATATATATATATTAGGTAGACATTGGCATGAAGCTATATTGAAAACCGACAAATGTTTGAAAATCATACATGTTGAGTAGCATATCTGGAGACATATATAGTAATATAAACACCTTTTATCACGTCAAATCTCTAGCTAGGCAGCCAGCCAGCCAACGTTTTCCTGAATTATTTTCGATTTGATAGAAAATAAAAATAATTTTTGATGCATAGTTATCGGGTCTGAGAAGCAAATATATTGATCAATTAACTGAAGTCTAGTTTTAAACCATTTTTTTATTATTATTATTTAAAGTGGTATTATTTTAAAATAAATCCAAGTTAGACTCTCAAATTAATCCAACCAACTTATGATACGAGTTTTAGAAACCAGCTTTATTGTTTTTTGTAATTAAAATTAGATGAATCCAAAGAAAACAATAGGATGCATGATAACATCTGATTTCATCTTCTTTGAAACGCCATCTTAACGAGGGTTCATGAAGGGAAAACAGTAGGATCTTAAGCAAGCTTGCAGGACACCATGGGTCGAGGTTTACGTGCTCGAAGGGAGCAATAATGATGCATAAAAGTTGAAGAATAAGAAGAAAAGAAACAGTAATCAGACCACGTATTGAGTTTTCTAAGGTCCCATTTGTTAGCTCAAGAATCATGGCAACTAAATTCGGATTCATGTTATATGTATGGCAATTTCAGGAGTCTTTTGAAGAGAGAACCTTGCCAGATCATGTCATCTTCCATGTTGAATTAAGGAAAAGGGTTTAATTAATTGAAAGCTCATGCTGGAGGACTACTAATGGCGACTTAATGAAAAATTGACAGCCAGTAGCTATTATAGTTTGAGAGTAAATTAAGATTTTGTATCCTATTGTTGAGAGTAAGTTTTTGTATTATCAAAACGAAAACTACATTACATAAAGATATATATATTTATTCATTTTGGGACAGTAAACAGACACTATTTTACTAATATTTTTACGTATTATGGTACATCAAGGTTAAATATATTTTTTCTCATCAAATCTTAAACAACTCATTGGATTCATATTCATATCCATGTATAACAAAAGTATAAACATGATTATTTTTTTATGGTAATATTTTAAATTCAAAAGCAAAAATAATAACGCAGGGAACAAGACTTATTTATCATCGAAATTGTTAATTAAATAAAATAATACCCTAATTTGATTCTCAAGGCAGAATTTTCGAAGCCTTAATGATAGCAGATATGATGCTCCTTTCTAGAGATTTCTAGTCCCTGATGGAACATCAGACAAGGAAGATAAAGACAACTGAAAGGCATATGTATCCAGTGAAAGGAAGCCAAAATGAGGGGACAATATTTGAGCAAGTACTCCATTGATGTTGAAAGAGCATAAGATTATCTCCAAAACCCATATAAATATTGATCGGACACATTAACAAGCGTCTTCTGAAGGATATGCAAGTGCAAGCCTTCAATGCTAGCCTACTCAGCATGGTAATAATCTAATAATTCAAATTTTAATAGATACTTTAATTAATTAGATTCTAGATTTATTTTTTAATATTATATAAATTTAAAACTACTAAAAACTAATATAATTATTAATTTCAGGATCTTAAAGAATTAATTAAGATATATGTAAATTAGCTCAAACACCTATAATTAAAAAAAAAACCCAATAATTCATCCCAATTTTGTTTCAGGGCAATAAGGAAACAAAATTATCAAGCTGACCTACCGAAAAACAGTAGCTAGATTTTTTTTCATTAGCATGGGTATCCAAGACTTCTCAAACTACCACTATGGTGTAGCGAGTTGGCTCGAGAAATTCATGCTCGAGGCTTAAACTGACTGAATTTTAATTTGAACAGGATGAGCCAAGCCTGATCAATCCAATTGGTTAACTAGTAATTTGATTTATTGTGTATAATAAATAGTTCAAGGTACATGTTGAAAAATAAAATAAAATAAAAAATAAAACCCATTACATGCAATGTTTAACAGAACCAATAAAATTAGGATTAATCCATGAATTCCAAGCCCATTTAACAGGTAAGTCAAGTTTGACCCAACAGTCAAATGATGAAGCTAAGCTGCTTGGCCCAACTATGAACTAAATATAAAAACAGATAATTTATAGCAAGCCATAAAATTAGAGCACACGAGCGTACATAGAATTGGTATTTAATTCAGTAGGTATCCTACGCTTTTCTTGGGCGGGTTAATTTTTTTCTTTTTTATAATATATATAAAAAATGCATAGATAATAATAAATTACGTGGAGTTAACTTGAATACGAGTTATTCAAGATATGAGATTAATAATACAATTAAAAACAAATTAATATTAAATAATAAAATTAAAAAAAATACTATTAAAAAAAACACATATTCAACACGGGTTAACTTAATCAACTTTCTAATTGTGACATAAGATTAAGATGAAAAAATCAAAGAAATTTTTTTAAAAAATCTAACAAAAAAGGCCAAAACTAAATAAAAAATGCTAAAAAAATACAAGTTAGCTCAGGTTAATTTGACTAATTCGAACTCAAGATGACTATAAAAAAAATAAAAAAATCACAAAAATCAAGAGTTAAATGATTTCATAAAAAAATAGAAAAAAATCCAAACCAACTTAGATCAACTGGATTAACCTGCTACCCAGAATATAAGATCAAGATAAATTCATAAAAGAAAAGTGAAACAGATAATGAAACTCAAGGTTTAATAATTTAATATCAAAAGATAAAATTAAAAAAAAAAATTTAAATAATGATGACCAAATCTTTTATAAAACCAAATGAAAAAAAATATTAAGAATTATATTGAAAAATAAAATAAATTAAAATAATAATAATAATAATAAGAATGAAGAACAAAATTGGATAAAAAAACTAAATGAATTAAAATATATAAAGATGAAATTGAAAATGATTTAAATTTTAAAAAATATTAAAAACAAAACAAATAATAATAAAATAAAATAAAAAAATAAAATTTATAGAGACAAAAACTGGAAAACACAAATAATTTTTGGAAGAGCTTACATTAATTTCTAGGCTAAGGGAAAGAAAAGTGAGAGGAAAAGAAAAAAATAATCACCCTCTCCGATGTGAACGGACGACGAAGCGCTGCTCCAAATATTATCATGGATGACTGATTTTTGATGATCAGACAGCCCCAGACGAGCCGCCAAAATGATACCGAGCTATCGTGAGCAACTTTATTTTTTTATTTAATAATATTATAATTTTGACAATTACTAGATAGCCTTTGCAACATTGTCAACAGCGTGTGTTCTTTCGGTGTTCTGAATATGAAACAATAAAGAGGAAGAACATATTCTTTGAAGAAAGAACTAGAAGGCTAGTGTAACTGATCCTCAAATTCTCTTATGAAACAAGTAAAGAATCCATGGCTTTTTGTTGGAATTGTAATCTCATTAGCTGGAAAAACTTTGTTCCCCATCAATTTAGATGCTTCATCCTCTCATTCAAGCATCCTTTTCTATAGAGTAAACATGTACAGTGTAAACATGATAGGAAAAAGGTGGCTATAGTTATCTACTTGTCAGGCTCTAAGACAATCCATCTCATAATATGAGGTTCTCCAATATATTCCTAGGCATCAAGGCCTTACTTTATCCACAAAGAAAAGAGTTGGGCGCGTTGAATTTAATGGATTTGGAATCTTTGATTACTGCCCAAAGAAAAAGCAACATCAGGAATCAATCGTGCCAGCCAAAGTAAGCTTACTTATCTACCCTATTTTACTGCATATGCTGGGCAATGCATAGGTCTATATATACAACCAACTGTCAAATCTCCATCAAGTATATTTGCATACTCGATACATCAGTTGCTCAAAGAGGCAGAACAAGTTCCCTGTGTTTTTGTGTCAAAATGCCTGGCTTAGATACTCAAGAGAACAAGCCTCCAGCAGGTTTGTCAGCTTTCTTTCTAGATTTCTTTGGACTTGAAATTCTTCAAAACTAACTTCTCGTTCTCATGTTCAAAGGATACCCAATTGACACTCCCACCACTGGGAAGAAATGCTTCCCTCGCACAAAAAAGAAGGGAGAAAGAGGCTTTATCGAGGGATGGTAAGTCATGTAAGCTGATTATGGAAGTGTGCATAAACTTCTCTTTATAAGCAATCTTGCAAACAATTAGATAACTAGTGGTTTATAACCATCCCTTAAACAAAAGTAAATTGCTGTTTAGTTCCTAGGTTTTCAACGAGATTATCGCCCGTCATGTTTGAAAACCAATAACATAGTCCCTTGACTTTTGTCTTGTTAAAGTTCTTTTGGTTTGATCTTAATCTCAAATGTACCATTTAAAGATATTCCTAGATAAAAATCTAAACAGTGAGAGTTTAGAGAAAAACCAACCTGACTTTTCAAAAAGGTGAGTGGATGAAAGTCAAGGAACTAGGTTATAGTTTTTCAACTATAAAGGACTAAGAACTGTGTTCAAAACTCAGGAACCAAGAATCAGTTGCTCACTGAAGAAAGCACTAACAACTCAGTCAGTCCTCATAACTTTAAGTCCATCACTAACAACTTCTACTATTTCTAATCCTATTGCTTTCTTATTTGTGCAGCCTCTTCGCTCTATGTTGCTGTTGGATCTGTGAAATGTGCTGCTAGGTTGTGATCCAAATAGGAAACTTCTGTACTGGATGTGTTGTCTTTGATTTTCCTGCTTTTCTGTGTGATCATATATTGTAAAAAAAGTGAGATTTTATTAAAACGTCTTCAAACAGCCTGTAAGGTATTTCATTATTTGTCTCCTCATACAGTCATATACTCTGCCTTTTTTTCGACTTTTCTACCGTTTTTCATTTCGTTCCGTGTTTTTCATCATTTCCACCTACCCTATGTCTCTAAGAGTGGGTTCTGTAGTCTGGATCAATTCCTAAGAGTGAGAATAGAACCCAAGCAAAGAAGAGTGAGAACACATAGAACTCATGAAGACCAAACCCTTCAAAAGCCATCATCATCATCATCATTATTATTATTGCCTAGGGATCAGTAACCTTCCATGGCACCAAGCTCGGAAATGCACTAGTGAAATCTGTCTCAGAAAATAATTGGAGACAAGCAAAAACTACGAGATTAATACTTCAAACCGATTTCTGAGAAGCAGTCCTTATTTGTCTTCCAATTTACCTTTTATGATTTCGGAAAAACATGGTTTTAAGGTAGCAAGAGACCATGCAAATAGCCACCAGGGACTGAAACAAACCTATATGGTGGTTTTGATTTAAATCATCTGAGGTTCGAAACAGTCAACAGCTATTGCTAAGATTAGGAGGCTGTAATAAAAAAAAAAAAATACAACATGTAATCTCTTCATTTTCCCATTCGTGAAAGAAAATTCATCATCGATCAGAGGCCAGAAGGCTTTCTTGTAGGGTGAGCTTCATAAATATAACATGTTATTCTATATTGACAGTTCTCTCAAGTTGGTGTGCAGTCAGGTATTTATGCTGAAGCTCCAAGCAGATTGACTAAAAGACAATACATATGATGTATCCAAAAATAAAAAGGATACAAAAGAATAAAATGACTAACCAACCACCGAAGGATGCTTTTCCATTTGTTTCCGAAGATGGGATCCAGCATGTTGTTAGAAAGGTTCCTGTTGGGGTCCAATTCTTTCCTTGCATTGTTATATGCATCCACAGGAAAGCGCTTTCTTCACCTTGCTTGAAGAGCTGCAAGCTCATCCTTGTCCTTCGGAACCTGCAAATATTTTGTGAGGTTTAAGTAAGGATGCACTGAATTTCAATGAGAATGAATCAGTGTAGAAAATTTTCCATTTGATGCCACCAGTCAGAATAAAGCAAGAGTACTGCACTGGATAAGTTAAAAAATTGAACATAAGATGAGATGCAAGATATTTATCAGTACCTCAATTTTAGCCCAGAGTTTATATAAGCGGAATACCTATCCCACAGCTCTGCCTGAGTCAGATGCCTGTAGTGGAAGAACTCATCTGTGATTTCCTTTCTTTGGCGGGCAACCGTTGTAGGAAGATGCATGATCATACCAACCTGAGAGATAAGCAAAAAGTGTTTTGGGCATGCTTACAGTGGTGAATCACCAATCAAAGCTGAATACTGAGCAACCATAAAAAACACAACATGGAAACTAAGAACAGATTGGTGCATCCGGCCTGTGTTTCAAACACAACTTGATGATTCTTTAGAAGCAGATAAAAATTGAACAAAATTTTAAGTACTGAAGGGACAACAAATTTTTTGTCTTGCAGAATGGATATACATAAGAGGGACGGGCATTTCAAATCAGAACTAAATGAAATTTCCAGATCTCTAGAATTACATAACTTACGTACACCTGAACTTCCTGATTGAAAATTAGATGTACACCACAACGTTTTCACAATATATACCGAATCCAAGGAATTCAATAAAGGGGCACTGAAATAAACCACGAGAATATATCATCCTCTGCTGAGCTTGAAGCTGGGCTCATGGAGCTCTGGCTGCAAGCTGTCCATCGCTGCTCCATGGGAGCAGGTGGAAGCATCTCTTCTTTCTCTATGAGCTGCTTCAGCTCCTCTATGAATTCAAGGTCTTTCATGCTTGGCTTGGCATGGTTACCAACAGGAAAACAAGTTTCTGAGAACCACTGTTGGTCCCCGCAATCAAAGCCCAAAATTTCATCACTCCATCCCACCCTGTATCCTTCTGACGTCCTTCAGGACTCAGCCTCAGCACGATTGACCCTTACAACATGGTCTTTGTTGAGAGGAACGTCCTTCAGGACTCAGCCTCAGCACGACTGACCCTTACAACATGGTCTTTGTTGAGAGGATCAACAGCAAGCAGTTTATCTCTTAACTCTGGGAATGAAAGCTCATTAATGCTGGTTCATTATCATCAGATGATTTAGAAGCAGTCATCCTGCAAGTGACAACGTATAATTAACTGACATATCGATCAACAACGTAACAGAAATTGTTAATGAGTGGATGGATTGCAAAAAAGAGGACAGAAAAAAGCATCAATTCCAAAGCTTAAATATACCACACCATAAAAATACCAAAGTAAATTAGAGATTTATAAGCAAGCTAGGAAAATATGACTGCAACACAATGGTTACATCAGTTCAAGAAGACATTTACCTATACTTTTGAAGTTAGTACTTGTAGAGGTCACGAGCATGTTGTAGTGCTTCATATACAGTATATTTGGGTTTGGGTGGACCTTTCCATTTCGAGACAGGGTTGCATGTCACAGCCACAACGGTGCCTATATATGGAATATGTAGGTTCTTTTTTTTAAAAATAAAATATAAACGAAGTTAAGTTAACTCAAGGCATCCCACCCAATCCAGTCGGGTTTTATAACTATGTAACTACGGTTTCCTCAACAATCAACGTTGGCCGTTAAATTCTGGCTTTATCATTCCGGCAAAGTACTTGCCAGATTATTATTATATTAGCTTTTCCGTGACCTGGATGGTCTTTCTCATGGACCATTTTGAAGTTTGAACCAAGTGCTCCAGTTGATTCATAAATAGATTTTGTTTTCCCTGGAGTACAGAGAGCTTGATAATTCATGACATTTCTGTCACTAGGCAACCATTTGAATTTGCCTATCCTTTCTTTGATGGGGTTAAATCTGTTATCATGCTTCAATGAATCGATGTGAATGTAGCAACCTGATCTACTAGATGAGTACACAATAAAGATAATCATATCAACTTAGCAACAGACGAGGAAAACTGACTTGCATACCTAGGGGGAGCTACAAATAGTATACAGTCCTTCAGTGCTAAGACATCGCTTAATTTTCCTGTTCAAGCATCGAGTCCAGCTGAACAACAGGAAGCTAGACATAACACAACATTAGATTGTTCTGTACAGTTCTTCCTTTCATATGATAAGTCACCACCAAACAACCTTGAACATAATTAAAAAGGATCAGGGTAATCTCAAGGTGAAACTACGATGCAAATTCCCTTGACGACCATCTCTCTTCATACCTCCCAAATGAGTAGGCTGTCATAGGCATCTCACTTAAGTGAAAAGGGTCTGGTTCAATGCCATAATCTGTCAGGGGTCTGTTCTCAAGAATATTGTCATGATTTTGCACGAATTCAGGGATCTCGATCTCTCCTTTCTTAATGTCTTCCCAAAGGTACTGAAGGCGGCTCACATACTTGATCTTCCAATATAATCTACAATTAGTGCCACAAAAAAAAAAAATATGAAGCGAAGAAGCACGTGAATAAATCAGAAGAACAAACACAGAATTTCATTGCAATTCATTCGCTTAAAACCAAACATAAGCCATGGCCAAGTACGGTTTGTTGGATATGAAGTTGCAATATCTTGTCCAAATCCTATAGTGACTTTTCATTAACTTTTACCTATAGGAATGCTTGCATTACAAAGAAAAGGCATGTGAACAGCAGTTCGTGCAATTGAAAACAACTGCAATGAGGATCTATCAGCTGATGCCCCATTCCATGATGCCAACATTGAATTATGTAATCAAATGAACATATTTTGTCTAACAAGAGATCTCCAACTTAACAACTTATAAAACCACAGCAACTTATGGTATGATTACAAAAGCAACTCTTCAACAACTAATAAACTTGAATTATCCAATATCACTTGAGCACATTGCATATTTAACTCTAAATGCTGCTAGAAGCCACTCTTCCCACTTCTATATATCCTGGTATACTTCTAGACTTTAAAGACATCTTCAACAAGGTAGATGAGTTATCTGATTGTTTATGTTTTACTAAAAGTTGTATACCATAGTTGGCCCAATTATTTTAGTTTATTGCTGCATAGATCTTAATATTAAGAAAGCACTCACCCTCCACTCAAGAAGAATCGACCAAGGGTTGCAAAGACAAGCCTTGAGCGTAGCCCTGGGTGAATGAAGTACACAGTTTGAAGCCTATCCTTGATGTCAGC